TGAGGCACGCATTAATTTACTTATATTTATTTACGTTTATTTATACATGTTATATTTTTTCCATGATTTAATCTATTTTGTACTTGGTTCTCAAATACCCATTTTGAACATCATGCAAAAATAAACAGAGGGGAAGAAAACCGCAAAATAAAAGCAACAAAGAAACGATCGTAGTTCTCGAGGCGAAGGTGCGCGCTATGCTCCCACGAAATAGTACTTAATTGTACCAAAAACGATATTCCACTGGAACCGCAGCCGCCGCAGCGCTCAAATGAAGTAGAAAGCCACGTCCTCTCCATTTCCGTGATCGTAACCCATAGACCAAGCGAGAAAGCGACCCCTGGTAACCTTCAAAAGCGCACGATCAACTGACAAGGTGTGCAGAGTCGATAGGGCAAGCATAAAAAATATTGTACTCCTAGCGGGTGTTGCGTGGCGCCTTTTCCAACCAGGGCACCGTTACAGCGCCTAACCAAGGTGCAACATGCCGACCCAGACGCCCATCACAACCGCCCGCCCACTAGCGACCATACAGTCTCATTGGCCCTGGTACTCTTATCGCTTCATTCATCTTGTACAATTGCTAAGAAACTTGCTCCATGGATCTATGAATAGATACGTGCAGCCGTATCTATCAAAGCGGTTGCTTGGCACGATGCCAACGGGAAACTCGTCCAAAAATGCTCGTCCAGTGCCGTGCAGAACAAAGGTTTTTCGCAGGTTTTTAGCGGTTTAACTTGGTTTTTCGTCATTTTCTCACCATGTAGCACCCTTGCTACTATTTTTGAGCGAGTTCCAAATCATGGTGCCTCATGCCTTCAAGGCATTCTCGTTCACAAACTTTGGGGGACTTTCATTGATTTTTGCTTCTCGCTTTTCAGTCGACAAACCATTAATAATTCAGCAAGCAGTAAGTAAGTAATGTTGCTGTGGTTCAGTTGTCAAAATTATGGAATGAATGTTGGTGGCCGCTGTGTCTGTGCACCTGGTTACTATTCCAAATACTGCGAGAGTAGTGAGTATGCACACATATTTCTTAATTTTTTAAAGTGTTCCTTGTAAATGACTATGAGAACTACCGAAGTGAGATTTTAGGAGGCTTCCGACCCGCTGTGGAATATGACATCGACTTGAGTTCCCGATCTCTGGTGATGATATTTTCTCTGCGCAGTTCGATGTACGATGATTTTCAAAGTTTCAAAGCAAACCTACCTAATATGACAGCTGGAATAGCTGGTCCTGAGAATTCTATCAGCAGCTATGTCTTCTGGGGATTTATCTTTACAGGTATGCCATTGATATGCTTCTAAGCAATAAGTGATAAGCTATGTGACGGTCTTAATATGTTGTTTAATTCAGAGGACGGCGTGATGACATACTACGTCGGATACGGTACTCAATTGAAGCAATATGAGTACGATATTTGATCAAATTGTCTTCAGTGACACATCCAGACCGCAGCCATTTCTTCAGCAGTTGATTGGAGCCCAACAGTTGTGAGCTTTAGTTTTCATAAGACCTACATCAAGTGACTCTCCAGCTTCAAAGCCGTCTCATTTTCCCATAAGAAATGCTCTTTTCCCCAAAATGACAAGAGTAAGCACGGTACAAAGGCAGCGTTCAGGCTTCACGATGACGCGTGTCGACGCGCAACGACGCGTTGTAATGCGCTGCAGTTGCAAACAGCGCTCCAATCATATAGACGCGGGCGTAGCCGCAGAAATGAATTGATCGGCATTGGCCACTAGAGCGGCGCCGATCCCCGTCTGCGGCTGCGTTCACGTCTATAGCCTTCGAACGCTGTTGCAATTGCAGCGCATTGCAGCGCGTTACAGCACGTCGACGCACCGCATTGCGAAGTCTGAACGGCTGCCTAAGAACGTGCACTCCATTTGCCAATAGAAAATGAAGAAAAAAATGAAGTTATCGGCGATGGCGTACTGTGGGGGCAATGTCCGTGGCTCCACCCACCAAACATCACCCACTATATATAATTTTCGTTCGTGTTGTGTGTTTGATTGTTGTTGGTTTGTCCGAGATTAGGTGTCGACCGAAAACAACTTGGGAGCGTCGGTTGAGGTGGGGATGGGTTCATGTAAGCCCCGCCACAGGGGAGTGGGCGGGGCATGCGCCGAAAAATAGCGGAGCCGCAGAAGAAAAAATTCATGATTCTCTTCCAGAGCAGCCCAGAGGTAAGGAAAAAGCGGAATAAGGTTAGCAATGGGTTGTCGAACCAATTACGGGGGACATAACCTGAGCGGGGCGTTTGGAGATAGGCGGTGCTCCCCGAGAAATTCATTAACTCGGTTCCTGAGAGAGTTTAGAAATCACAAAAAAGTAGGAGTAGGAGGCACAAATGGGAGAGGTCGGAATGCTGAGGTGTGTTGAGACCCGCCCACAATGGGAGGAGCTTGCTCTCATTCATAGGGTGCACATTCAAAAAATTTGTATCTTGGTTCCAGAGCACTCCAGGAACCAGAAAAAAGTGGGTTAAGGTCAGCAAAGGGTCGCCGGATTGAGAATATGGGGCCCCACTATGTTGGTGGGTGGGCAACCCGAGGTACGCGGAAGACAGACAAATACTTCGTGTAAAGCGGCAGGCACTCTGCGAGAAGACGGGAAAAAAGTAGGTCAAGGTCAGCAAGGGTCGCCGGTAAAAAATGTGCACACATGTTGTGGGCGGGACCACCCGAGGTGGGCGGAGACAGACAAATGTTGTGTGTAAAAATGGAAGCGGATGGTCAGGAGGGAATCACTGTTTGATGCGGCACAGAGCCGTTGTAGGCGGCGGAGCCAAACGCAGAAAAATAGAATGGCTCCATAACAGACTCCAGGGCACCGGCAAAGACGAGCAAAAATGTGCAGAAGCTCAGCCATTGAAGCGAGATTTACCCCATTCTGTGCTGAGATATGTCGATGTTGTCGGCGGGTGAAGATCAAATATTCATGAACTAGTTGTAGCAGCGTAGGCACCGTGGTTTGGGTTGAGGTCCCTAAGGGGAGCGGACGACTGGAGGAGATATCTCAAAAATGGGCGGGGTGCTTTCGAAGTGGGTAAGCTCTTGCTGAAAAATTTCGCGGTTCGCAACTGAGTGAGCTTGGGGATCAGGAAAAACTTTTGGTGATGAGAAACATATGGCGAGAGTTCAGCATGTCTGTGGTGTGTTGAGACCCGCCCACAGTGGGTGGGCGTGTTCTCAAACACGGGGTCCTATTCACTGCGTTTCATGGCTCTCAACTAATACCCGGTTTTCTCTCATTCTGCGCCCTTGATCAACCCTGCTCACAATCCATTTCATAGACAGTAGCAGTGTCGAAAACAGTAGGTATGATGTTATTGCTCAAGGAGCGTTGACTGTGTGTACAGGTGAAAAGAAAGCCGGATAATTGTTGATTATCCAGTGTAGAAGGAGGTAAGCGCGGCGAAGATGGGCCGTAAGATGGACGGAAGGACGGAAAGTATAAACGCAGCCTAACCAGTCGGCGCGCCGCCGTCAGCCGGCGAGCCGACTGGTTAGGCTGCGTTTATACTTTGCGGCAGCGTAGCGTAGCGCTTCCAGCGTACGCCAGCGGCAGTGTCGGGGAAAGGATAGATATCGATCTAGCGTTCCCAGCGTCACCAGCGTACGCTAGCGCTACGCCAGCGTAGCGAGGGCACGGTACGGGATGTATAGCTACGGATCGTAGCGCCTCGCCATGAGTTTCCGATGCGTTGTCAGTAGCGTTTCGCTAGCGCTTGCAGCGGCAGGGAGTAGAGACTATGGGAGAGTAGGAGAGTATTCTGTACGTCTCCTACTCTTCTATACTCTCTAGCGGTGCCGAGTATTTTGTACTCTCCTACTCTTCTATACTCTCTAGCCCCGCCGCTGGCAAACGCTAGCGAAACGCTAGTGAAACGCTCGTGAAACGCTGGAAGCGCTACGCTACGCTGCCGCAAAGTATAAACTCAGCCTTATTCATATCTCAGCTGCACCGACTTGAAAATGGACCACGTGTGGTGTACCCTCGACTCAGTCCTGCTAGCGTCTTGACCTGTCTCTGTGTTGTAGCTGAGAGTTAGGTACTTCGAAGTGTCTCTAGTGAATATCGTACTTAACAGTCGTATTCAAACAAAAAAATGCCGCGCAGAAAATGCCCTAAGTGAAGTAGAATTTTTGAGGGCGCCCGTGTTTTTTTAGCTACCCTGTAGAAGCCCTTCAGTTTGTCTGTTTTCACTGATGAAAATAATCAGACGAGATAAGGGCCATTTGCAGTTCTATAGCACCTTTTTCAGCCTATTTTTCTGTCCATGATTCTGTCCGTCTATGATTTTTGAATGTTGTGCTGTTGATCATTTGCTTCTCGTAGTTCTGTTGATGTACCTGTTCAGCTACTCTGATACTACAGCGTTCTCGAATGTGCTATTTTTTGCCGATGTGGGGGTGCCGGCGATGCCACATCGCCCAGTGACATGATCTATATGTTAGCACACCAGAACACCAAGTGATTTACAGGACAGCCATTTGGAGGAGTAAAGTGAGCTAGTGATCGGGTTGTTTTGAACATGAATGAGGGGCGGGGGGGGCGTGGTTTCCCCAAAAAGTTTCGCCGAGAGTAATTGACGAAGCAAAATTTTAGTTCACGTTCGTGTTCTCGGAGTCGTCGTTAGGTCAACTCGATACCTCCGGTGACCAGTTTGATGTGTTCAAGACGTCATTGAGTGGCAACCCATGGTGATCTGCTCGTTGTCAACAAAACGGATATAGCTATGGTATGACGAAATCCTTTTGTTCGGTTGCGGTTCCACTAAAATAAATCAAAATACTGACTGGAGAGCAGTAGCGAGTCATTGAAGAAGCTAAAATACTAGGCCCGACTCCGCCCATTTGAACACTGCTTACAAAGACAAGTTCCGAAAGTGAATATGGCAAAAATAAAAGTAGGCAAATCAGCTCATAGAGATCGGTTTCCGGGTGTTTCGCTGATCGTGTAGACCGACGACCCGACATGTTTTTCTCCGAGGGTTTTAAGCCTCTGCATGCCTATGATAAGGGAGACTGATGTGTGTGCTGTGAAATCCCCATGGAGGCATCATGCGTACAGTTCCTAGTCTGGATTCCTAAACACGCTTTCGTCCACGTTCACTATGATTCGGCGGAGACAGAAGGTGTCCTGGTCGTTGCACAATACAGCGTTGGTGCGACAGCTCCATTAACGCCAGTGAGAGTGACCAATGTGAATAGGCGGCAAGGTGGCGTCTCAGCTCCTCCCCAGTGCCGGTCACCCTGGTACGCTAAGGCTTCAAGGACAACTAGTCATTCCACCTCAGTAGATCCTCTCAGCTGCTGATAGACGTGTGGTGGACACGGTCCGCAGGTGGCCAGACCGCGTGACGCTTTACTCTGCTCAAAAGTGCACCGGGAACAGGGGTTGCAAAGGGGTGGGTGGTAATGGAGCTTACCCTGATGCGTCTTCGTATTACTCCTGCGCTGGTCGCGACGTCACCGTTTCTTACCATTGCGAAACATTCACTTGCTCTGCGCCTCGCACGGTTGTTCTGCTGGCGCTGAGAACGTGTTTGCTGCGCGGCCCACCGAAATCAGCGCAACGTGCTGATCACTGCAGGATAGCCACCGATGTCCGTAACCACACGTACCCTACAGCCCTGTTCCCATGCATTTTTCTGCCGAGAAAGCGGCCCTCTACTGCAGCTGCGAATCATTCGCCTCGCACATAGCAGGAACCAGGATCTTTGGAATTGTGTAGAGTTTCCTTTTGGGGTACTAAATGGTACGGGGTAACCTATCGGTCTGCTCAAAAATATTCACTATTGGCACAGTTCTCAATACAGACCACTCTGTTCGGGAATATGCCATCAGTCTTATGTAAATTTGCTTATGGATTCGGCGCCCCAGATCTATTCGAGCCTTTGAGCCAGAACTGGCAATTCCCTCACTGCTACAGTGGCTTTATCGACGATAATATTGAAGATTTCTGTTAACAGGTTGATGACGGAAACGGCTGTCCTATTTACCATAAGATGAGTTGCCGTTCGTTACTAATGCGACATGCAGTGGTCAGATGATAGTGACCATCCCGACCACATACACTTCTTTGGAAGAGACAAAAGTTCTGCTTACCGTTGATAAGAACGATGGTCTGTGAATTTGCAAGGAATTACTTAAAAAGAACGATGAATTTATTGTTTTCAGGGAACCCGCCCACTTTCACTCAGCCTTACCTCATTGACATGAGCAGTGGTCAACGCCTCACAGCGACTTCAGCGGGAACTTATTATTCGGTTTGTGCTATTCTAAAAATCAGACAGTATTGATATGCTGATGTTACTCTGCTGACACAATAGTGTGTGTGTAATGGGGGGGGGGGGGCAAGAGAGTGGGGGAAAGGGGTAGGGCGCGATCGCAGTCAGCTGCAAAACCAAACCACAGCTTTTTGTGCTTGCCGGGGTACCTCCCAACGAGACAGTACTCGCCTAGCGATCCGATGAGGTAGCTCAGAGTGAAAAAAACGCAAACGGAGTGTCGCCAACGAACAACTTTGCAGCTGGTCTAGTCTGACGCAGTTCTGCGGATCCGGCCAAGATCACTTGAGCCTAGGAAGCGCTCTCAAGAAATTGAAGAGATGCAGCGTAAACCCGTGACCCTCAGCTTATGAGCTGGTCTACAGGAACAAGGCCGTTCCACTCCGTGACCACGCTCTCTCCACGTTACTCAACCCATAACACCTTGAACGGACTGGGCTACGGAAATCTTACGCATGCACCTTATTCATCAGACAAAGCCACCACCGAATACCACCTCTTCGAACATCTCGAAAAGTTTTCCAGTGGGGAAATGCCTCAAAAGCTAAATGAGCGGTAACATCACCGGGCTTATCTTCTGTAGACCTCCGGACCTGAGACCTCCTTCAATTACTTTTCCCCACAGTTTTCTAATGTTTCAGTATGATACTACCATTTATTAGGTCATCCCATTCAAAAGTGCCGAGCATATAGAGGAATGGCAGAAAAGCAAAGGGGATAGAGCAGCGGGCTACTATACCATTTGGAGGCTAGTACCTTTAGCTATGTATCTGTGAAATTTGGTGAACCTACCCACAGAAGAAGTTCTCGAGAAATTGAAAAGAAGCCTGAGTGGTGAATCAGCGCCGGTTTTTCAAATCAGGCGTCATAAGAGGAAAGTGCGCTGCTCAAATTTGACCTGCGCCGGACCAGTAGTTGTGTGATATAAGGTGGAAGGTTTGGTTCAGGAGCCCGAAGAAGGAAGAAAGGAAAAAATTTGTTGTCGTGGATGGTCCCATAATGTTCATCCTGCACAAAAAAGGGTGGATGAAGTCAAGCGCTGAATGTCTGATCACAGAGCCTGGACCTTTGTCGAGCTTCCCCGCGAGACTGACATCCCTGCTGCAATTACTGTACGTGTTATGACCGATAAACTGAGGATGGTCAAGGGGGTGTGCGCATGGGTACCTAATTTTCTTATAGAAGCACGAACGCAGTACCGATTCTATACCTCTAGCAGTAATGTTCTCAGCATGAGATGTCACTCACGACTGTGAAAACGCACCCCGGCCCTAGATGAAATATGGGTGGTCTCGGACCAGTTTTGTATGAATGCAGATGAGAAGCCGCCCGAGTTCTACCATGAAGAGTTACGTGGGCGCAAGTGGATGATCATCATAGCGAAAGGATTCCCACACTGTGGCTTTCAGGCGGCTCTATACAGAGAATAAAATCGTAGCTGTCGGTGTATATTGCCTGTTCCTCGGCAATCAGATCGACAAATGGATGATACCACACAACTACAAGAAGGCCACCGTTGCTCGTCATAGTGCCAGACCCCGAGTAACTGTATTGTAGGGCAGTGCTGGGACACAAACAATACTGAGACCTGGGTTCAATCGCCCCATTCGCCCGTCATAAAGCCATGCGATTACAACTGTTCTATTCAGTTGAGAGTACTCTCCGACGGCAGACGCTACAATGTTTTGTCATTTGCCGAAATTGGCAACAACAGCAATTTACTCGCACTTGTTGAAAAATCGAAGGTACCAGAGGTCCAAAGGCTTTCGGGGCACTGGGAGTCATTGGTGAAGGAGGGATTTACTTAACTTGAAGCCAAAATATTACTTTTTTATCTATTCTCCTCTTTGTTTTATTCGAAAAAACCGCGGCACTTTTGAATGGGATGACCTAATAACTTCTCAAATCTGCTCAAACTTCGAGAAGCTTGTTCTCTTTGAGGAACTTATGAGATTCCAAGCTCAGCTCATTCCACTATGCTGGAATGGGGAAAAAATACAATAGTAGATGCTACTAGCTCTTCTTTGAAAAAAAAACGGAAGATCCGATTGCCTCAAACAAGACCTTCCTTCGTTTCTTTTTTCCAATTTCCAGTAAGAACCTACTATAAAGATATACTAGGCGATAGAGAGCGGACAACTCATGGTGGGAGAACACATTATAAGACCACTTTTCTCCACACGACTTTCGTGTTAGGTTTCCTGACCTTGGTGGGCGGTCACCGGCCCACATCATAAGACTGAGCACCTCTGCTATATGCAGGGGCATATCAGCAAAGTTTTCGCAGCCCAGGCAGAGACGTGGATACGAGTACCAGGGCGGAAGATACCCAAGATGTTCCTCGATAAGCAGGAGCTGGCTCTCGCCCATCACCTTCATGTACACCAAAATATGAAGTCATCTCCAATCGCCACCTCCAACTAGCTGCGAAACGTCTTGTGTCCGCAGTCGCCAAGGCGCGGGTTGATGGTATGGACCGGAAGTTCCTGGAATGGGGACCGATATTTTCTTCGTGGACCCGGACTGAAGGTGAGCGCTGACGGTTACATCGACCAACTCGAGAAAATATCCTCTTCATGTCGTCGCCTGTACCATCTTGGAAACTTCGTACTGCTACAGGATTGGGTGCCAGCACATGGAATCGAAGGGCGCTGTGGAATGGAAGGGCGCTGAGAACCTGAAGAAGATGGAATATCCAAGTGTGTCACCTGACCTGAACCCTTCATTACCGGTTCGGGCGGAGCTCAACAGGGTGGTCTACAGTGGCGGAGAAATCAACGATCTCGCTGAACTCAGGTACCCACTCACGGTCGCGTGGCAGAATCTCTCGATGGCGCTCGTCCAGAAGGCTGTGGCGGAGTATCGTGATAGTGTACAATGTGTTGTTGAATATGATGGTGGAAATGTCCAATCAGAATTTAATAAAGTGTAACTTATATCGCCTCGAAAGTCAAGGAAGAAAAGTCTTTTTTGCCACCCCCTGTACTTCCGAGCGGCGAAAGCGGCAGAATCATAGTCATTCCAAACAAGTAGGAGGGGGGGGGGGAGAAGGGGATCTCACATAATTGTGAACTATGGCTTCAGTTTATATTTCAGTTCTACATACTTCCATCCAACGTGACTTCCGTTCGTGTAGACGGACCAACACCTGGCTTGACCTGTTCTTTGAGAGCATTTGTCAATTCGGATAGTACAGTGCTACTCAGTTACACGGACAATTCGGCTATCGATATTGGGAATGCTGTTCGATCTCAAGGTGGGTTAGCCAAGAAACTTTGAAAGAAATTCAGAAACAATACACACAGTACACTTGGTACAGTACAGTTTGTAACATCCCAGTTAGTCGAGAGCGGTGTGAGG